CTACCAGCCCAACGTTCCTCCAGAGTTCAAATTTCTATTGTCTTCCAGTTGCTGATCAGTTGACGAGCAGTACTTGTATGTTGAATTCCGGACATTTTTCAGGATGAGCTGCAAGCAACTGATTTTTTTTCTACCCTTAACCCAGATTTTTTTCCTGCTAACGTGCTGGAAAAAAAAAAATCTGGTTGCAAGTATGTTCTTAACCACCCATTCCATGATACTGTGAATATATTCAATAACATAACGTCAATATAAAGGGAAAAAAACGTTAGTATAGCGTCTGACTCAAGCAACTCGGGAAGACATCAGGGATAGTCTGTCCTGACATTTTCTAGAAATATTCAGAAGTGAAAAAAGGCCGTCATGTCAGAGTCCTCACGCTCCTACCATTTGCAAACCCTGAACACAGTCGCAGAACACTTTAATGTAACACATGAGCTTCCCACTCTCCGTGTGACATCAGAGGAAAATGGATGCAATTTAATATGTTACACTGCAGTCACCACATTCTGTCTCTTTATTGAGCCCTGTACCCATGAGTGTTTAGAAGGAAGACATATCAGCCATGAAATGTTGTGAAAAAATAACTCCAAGGACCTCCAATTTGTGCTAGCCTCAGTCAGGAAGACTCAGGGTCATAGATTTGAATCAAACATTCAGAGTTTAAAACAAATGACTTCTTACAAAATGTGAATGTTAGATTCAATGATTAGCAGTTTGACATTGGTTGAGTGATGTTATAGGGTGAGACGAGGGGGATGATTGGTGGAATGAAGAGGATAGCTGTCCTTGGGTTTATGTAACTACTTATCACATGATGCAATAATCGCATTAGTCTTCAACTTGTTACTTCCTTCCTTGTATTGTTGCATTACTGCAAAAAAGAACAATTCTCTATTTATCTGGCTCCTTTTGTTTTTATTCCTTAGTTACACCTTTTTAATTTAAGTCAAAATGCTTAAAGTGAAATACTCAATCAAACAGTTACTGAAAGTCTTAATGGTTTGTTGCTTTCCTGATTTTATCAAGATAAAAGATAAATGTATTTATAACCTGACTTGAGTTGACTGGATAATTAAGTCACCTAAAGCAGTTTGTAATTTAATTTTTTACATGTGTTTTTGCCTGAATCTCTTGCATTTATTCACGTGAAATTGACTGCTGCTGCCGTTGCTGTTATAACAACTTCTGATGAATTTCATTAAGTAGGAACACTGTTTCCTATCTTTGCATGAACACCAGGAGCAAGAAGGACGAGGTCTCCACGATGACCTCATTGCAGCATCTGAAGACCACAAACAGCATTGGCCCCATAAGGCCAAGTCAAAGACAGGATATTCCCAGAATGCATTTCACAGGGGTCAATATGCTAATATTAGCCCTGCAGCCAATAGCAGTGCAGGAGCTGTGCTCCAGATACAGGAGGTGCTGCTGGATCAGGTTACGTTGTGAAGAAACGCACTCAACGGACTCAACCGGGCCTGTAAGAGCGCTCTATCCCTCTCTCCTAATGTATGTAAATCACCCCGCCCCTTTACGTTATTACCACACTATTGACACCATAGGCATTTGATCCTGTGACCGCATTGCTCCTCTGGGCTGGTGCCTGTTTGTAACAGGAATCCTTAAGGTCTGTGAGGGTTCATGACCTCACACATCGCAGGTTTGGGAACAGTAGTAAATCCGACAGACAGTTATGATGTGGAGGCAGAACGACACCATCCATGGGCACAGTGCACAGTGACTGAAATGAGAATACACTCATAGCATTCTCTATTTCTCTGGCACAGTTTTGTTGTATTTGCAAACACACTATTGATAGAAATCCAAACTCATTTCTGTGAGACGGACCTTTGGACTCAGCTCAGGAGCAGGGGGTTAGGGATGTACTACCATGCGGCTCTGTGACATCATGATATGCTTCCTGTTTCCTTAATTTGCAAATGCAGGGAGGGGTGGTGTTTTATTTGATTCTGTACTGGGAGCATTATTTGATAGGGGATTATTGTCCATCCAGATACGCTTCCCCTTATATCTGCAATAATAGAGTACCAGAACATGCTCCCCATACCCTAAAAACGCATATGGAGTGGGTAGTAAACTAATATAAAGTTATTGTTCTTGTAGCATTATTTGATAGAGGATACGGATAGCCTCTACTATCATATTGTGCTAATCAGTTCATGGCTCTGCTCTCACTGTACGAGTGTGTGGAGTCGTACAAACAAAATTTCAAACATACCAGAAAATCTTTCAACATCAGAAGATCATGATCAGTTGTAGGACTCAAAAATCGGGTCGAAATGGCCTGAAATTGTTCAGCGTACGCTCTGCTTTGCAATTGGTTCAAAAGAGATGGTATTCAACATGTACATGACAGGATCATCAACATTTTCTGATTCGTATTAGTAGAAAAAAGGAATAAAGAGGCAGAACAAGAGAGAACTCAGTGACCCTGTTCCAATCCCTGAGGGTCATTTCAAACAGCCAACTCGTTCACAAATGGCTCATCCCTGAACTGCACCAGTCTGAACATTACGTGACTTTGTAGTTCAAATGTGTCCAAAAATAAAAGAAGTGCAAGTTCAGGCGATGCTTTTCTCTACCCGGTGTTTAATTATACTCAGACAGCCTATTTCCAACAACTCTGATACTGAATATCTTACACTCCCGACACGTAACACAGTATCAGTTCCCCTGGGCCAGAATATGCTGTTCCCTGGGGCCTCCTGGTTTAGTAATGTGATTAATAAACCATGAGTGGTCTGAGATGCACCTCTATCCTCAGTGCTGGGGTGAGTTTGCATTTTGGCAACTCCAGAGCCGAAGCAGTAACTGTTCATAGATGCCTCTGAGGACCTCGTGGAGGCCGGGGGCAGAGAACATTATATCACTGTGTGCACAGGAGTGTGCGTGCCTGAGGGAATGGTGCAAACCCAGGAAATATGGTACCACACCCTGGTGCCACATACTCTGCAGACATTCATGAAGACTTAACACGCTCGCAGTGGGGAACAAAGCTCAGCGGAGAGATCAGACGTTTACTATGTATTGTCTCACACACACACATGCTCTAGCAGAAGAACAACCTGCAGGCGGGCGGATAATGAAGATGAGCACTTCATCTATACTGTGCGTCCATACATTGGCGTGTGCTAAGAATGGAGATGAAAGCGTGTGAGTGGGTGGCAGGCTGTCGGTGTTAGCTCTGGTGTCAGGTGTTACAGATTCCCACATGGATTTGATCTGCTGTTCAGTGCTCCTAAAAGCTTCCTGTCAAATCGCAGATCCTCATAAGCCACACTCTGTCGACAGCCGAGTCGTGAACTGAGTAAACCCAACGCACGCCCTCAAATTTTCAGGGCCAATGCAGCATCGGCAGGAATGTGAAAGACCAATTTCATGCAAATATTTTTGAGATTTGAGATGCAAATTTATCTGAAATTATAAAAGAATTAAACAATGACATCATATTAAAAGAGAGAGTTTCTGTGAGAATGGCATTATGCAATTTTAGTAAGTTAGTTGTAATATCTGGGAAGACTGAAAATAAGGGAGAAGCACTTCAACAGAATCTTTGAGGAAAGATTTTTTCCACTCCTTAAAACAGGACATGAGAGAAAAGAGAGCCGACATGCACCAAAAGTCCTCAGATAGAAGTATGGAAGCCCTAAGCGGACATGCATCCACATACTTTAGGGCCTTCTGCTTCCCTCAGTAATGCCTGTTAGGTATGTTTTAGATAGCGTTGTGTGCTTGTGATCTGTCAGTGATCTAAGTTTAAAAAAGGAGAAAGTGAGACAATGGGAACAGATACAAAAACAAGCCCCCAGCTCGTCCCCTCAAACTCTGTAATTCTCCAGGGCTGATGGCCATGAAGTCGTCACCTCTTAAGCTTCAGGATGCATTTTAGCATCACATTAAGCTTAGAATCGACACTTAATTGAGGCAGTGAGGAGAACTGGAGGACAGGGTAAGCAGGACAGTTGTATGTACTCATATTTATCTATAAATACACTGGAACAGATTTGCACACTGGATACGTTTGCACACTGAACGTTGTTAATGACAGCTCTGAGAAGTCTTTTATTTATCATTCCTGAAGTCTAGTCTCTTTTTAAGAAACTGCTTTTAGTATTTTCAGTTCCTTATGTGCCTTAATGTTATTTGTCCAGTTTTCATGTTGTGTCTTGACTGTGTTTGAAGCTGCTGTGACCATCCATCAATCCATCCAATAAGCAATATTTTAAAAAAAAAGCTAAGTAAGCCGACATTTTCTGGTCCAAGCCTCTTTAATTTGATCATCTGCTACTTGCTTCATTTCATATAAAAAATCAATCACAGTGAGCTTTCCAACACAATGACAGGTTTTTTTTTTTTTTTACCATTTGTTCCACTATTGGCTGACTAAACATTTTATTGGCTGAATTATTCAATAAAAAATAAATTAAACAAGACTTTTTTCAGACTTATCCAACACATTTAGCTCAAACATGCAGGCCTTTACATTATATTCTGAGCAGCAGTCCCTTAAAGTTGAGTACACACGTGTCATTAGAATTAATCTCCCACACCATATCTCTTTCTTCGATCAGACTTTTCAAGGGCTTTACCTTCTGAACACATCCGCTGCACGGAGACCTTGAAAGTTACATCATGTAATTAAAAGTTAGATAATGGAAAATGAAACTGACACGCTGTGGTGGTGTGTCTGCACAGTGGGGCATATCACAGCCAGGTGGCACTACGTTTCCATGCAGTGCCGCCTGACGTCTGCCCTCTAGTGGTTCAAACAACTAACTTGTCACAGAGCGAAGAAGGAAGAGCTGGTGAATGAACTCCAAAGCTCGACACCGCTCTGCTCACTTCAAAGACCCCGGCTGGTCCTCTTCAGATCCTGTCACCGCCGCCACCAGTGGAAGGACACACACTCTGATGTCTTTCCTTTAGTCGGAGCACACTTCCTGTCTCTGTGAGTCTTCCAGAGACGAAAAGAGAAACACTTTACAAAAACTGTTTATTTGCACTTCAGAGTGAGTGTACAGTATGAAAGATTTACCAAAATACTAAAGTACGTAATTGCCGTGACTCCAGCTGCTTTAAAGCGCCGGATTGATTATGGAATAAATATTCTTTTGGGTAAATTAAGAGTCTGGTGTTTGGTCCTTGGCTGATTCCTCGTGGTCAGCTGTGTTGTTGTCATCACTGTTGTCAATCTTGACTGTGTGTTCATCCTTGATCCTGTTGTCACCATGGTTACCTTGGTCACCGTGGTGACCGTGGTCATGATTCAGCTGTGCGTACTCCACCGACTCCTGCAGAACAAACTCTTCAATAAGTACGAAGGAAGCAATAATACTGACCGAGTTGTGAATGTAGACTGTAGAAAACATGGACGTAGTCTCAGTGATCTCATTGGTTTTTGAAGCAGTGTTATGAAGCTCAACAATGGTGGTGGCCATATTGAAAATGCTGATTCAACCTAACTTGCGATCAATCTAGAAACAGGCAAAGAGGTTGAGCTGTTTCTGCAGTTTCCCAACACCTATGTGATGTGCAAACGACGACAACCTTTTTCTATGTTTGCATGTACCGGGCAAAGATACTCTAATAACTAAAGAACTTAAATTATTCAAAGCTGACTTACATAGTTCCTAATTTTCATTTAAACATACAAATACATGAAGCAGAAAATAAAATGTTATCGAGCGTGGATCCTTTCAGTTGCCTGGATACAATAAAATGTACAATAAAAGCAGACTCCACAGGATTTCTGTGTATTGCATTACGTCTCCCACATTCAGAGTGTGAGTGTGTGTGTGTGTACATGTGTGTGTAGTGTGTGCATTCCTTGTATGAATGACGTGTGAATTTTTCTACTCACACCATCAGGCTGCTCTGGAACACCTGCAACAACAAAAGAAGAGGACGCGCTCATGAAACAAAAGGAGTGAGAGGATTAAAGGGGGGCTTGAACAGTCATTAGCTCTGCCGTGAAGAACTCCCACATCCCGGGAAACTGATAGCTAATCACGTCACCAACATTAACACTAATACGTACACCGCAAGGCGCAACAAAACAAGCTTGAAATTGTGATTTCCGTCACTTCTGCTGCATCATTTTTGGAGTGAATGCAGTTGACATTTAAACCGTTGGGAACTATTAGGACTAAATGAGTGAACAATGGACAAAGTTTCCCCTGTGAGTATCAAACAATGGAGCGTGTTTCTCTCTAAGTCTTAACGGATGTAGAAACTGTTTGCTCTGATTGTTAGAGCAGGAAGCTCTCGCTGACGAAAGCAGGAAGTGGACACCTGGCGGCTGGGCCTTCTGTTTTAATGGGACATTCTTTGACTAACAATGCAGATGTTTACAGTCTGAGTTGATCCTGTTTCCTGGCGCTCTTTTTTTTTTCCCCCCTTCCAAACACAACTGAGTGGCCTAATTTCTCTCTGTCAAAGACAAGTGGGATTTGAATGAAAGAGAAGGATGTAAATTGTACCCTGTTTGGAGTTGCGGACTTCGCTGTTCATCGTCTCCGGGCCGAATTCCACCAAAACTGTAACGACAGACGCAAAAATGTTTTAGACAATGTTTTTTTTCTTTAGAGATTTATCTTTGGGGCCTTTATTTGACAGGGCAGTGGATAGAGTATAAGAAACCAGGGAGTGAGAGAGAGTGGGGAAAGACATGCAGGAAAGGAGCCTATGGTCGGACTTGAACCCAGGGCACCCGCTTGGAGGACTATAGCCTCCGTACGTGGGGTGCGACCTAGCCGCTAGGCCATCTGCGCTTTAAGACAGTGTTTTCAGCATAAATAAGATTTAATATGAAATAAGAAATCTGTAAATATTCAAACGCAGCCCCACCTATGGTTGGATTTTCCGGTCTGGGTGGCACCTCAGTGTATCGAGGCTCCTGCTTCTCTGGAGAGGTCACACTATTCTGGTCATCTGACTCTGCAGAACAATAACAATTGCAAGTTTTATTTTAAGATATATTTTATGATGGACATCTAACAGCTGCTACGGGGTAGGTGTCAGATGAGACAAAAGTCGATATGTTTGAATGCTAAAAACAGCAGGATGAGCTTTTTAGTCAGAAAATACAACCTAAATAAAGACAAAATTAGCAAAAGGATAGACTTTGTAAAACAAATGGTAACATAATCAACTTAACTCAAACCTTAAGTTCCTCAAAGGAGCTTTCAGTAAAATCAATTGAGTTATCTTGGTATTTATATGGAAGGGAAAAAGGCAGAACAACAACAGAACAAGAATAAAGGTCAAAAATTGTCCATTCACTCTGCTCACCAGATCCTGATACATGTTCACTCCAAACACTCTTTCCCATAATGCCTGGTGTGACTAGACAGAGAGGGGAAACACAGAGAAGTCTTAGTGATTAAATCTACATTACTGCTGCAGGGAAATGGATAGATAAGTTTACTACAGCGTGCTTTATGTCATGTGTTAAAGACTTTACCATTGGCGGCCTCATTGACCTCTGCCTGGGTGAGGCTCAGCCGTTCCACTTTGGTGCCGGCTGACTTCCTAAGGAGAGATGGATTTAAAACACAATCAGCTTCTTAAAACAGGAAGCCTAAAGGTTGTCAACATACTCTCTCCTCCTGTAACTCACATGACTTCATCGTTTAAGTGTAACTTACACTGACAGCTCAGCAGTTCTCCTTCTCTTAAACTGAAGGAGACGTTTCCTAAAGACGATAACAAGGATCACGGCGAGCACAAGCAGGAGGCAGAAGACTGCAATGAGACCTTGCTTCCATCCTGCCAGCTTCACTGCAGAAAACAAAACAGTTGGTTTGTGATGATGATATTATTAATTAGAAAATACAGCAGTCAAAATGTTCTCACAGGACTGCACACCTGCACTTTCCACAAATTTAAATGTGTAAACTAGATGCCAAACGTGTGAATAAATGCAAATTGCAGCGCCTTAAATATATAATTTTTCTACTGAATACTTTTAATGCTTGCCTCAGGGTGCTTAAAACTCATTATAGCTCAATGATTATGAAGTTGTTCTATAAACGCTGAGTCATAAATAATCAGTATACTCATAAGCCTGGTTGACATATGAGTCTTTGAAAGATTATTGTTCTATTATCCACATTTCACTGAAAAGTGGAATTTGTGACTGCACAGACTGTTTAGCAGCTTTAATCAATGCAGGCTAGCCACAACTAAGTGGTTAGCCAATTCAACCATAATCACATGGCAGCCATTTTCTTTCTGACATCACATATGGTGTGAAGCTCACTGTTATCATGTCGTTATCATGACTTGTACTGCCCACATCTACAGCAGTACAAGTCAAAGTCAACTTTATTGTCAATTTCAAAATATGCCAGACATACAGTGGAATCGAAATTGCGTTTGTCTCCGTTATTTTGGTCGTATTGCACCGTGGGCCGGAGGCAAACGCAATTTCGACTCCACTGTATGTCTGGCATATTTTGAAATTGACAATAAAGTTGACTTTGACTTTGACTTTGACTTGTACTGCTGTAGATGTGGGGTATCTTATAGATCATTATTAATTACCGTTTTCTGATGATACGCTACGGAAAATAATGAATTGTGGAAATATGGAGGGACATACCAAAAGCTAACTAGCCATAGCTAACATTAGCATTCAACCCACTCCTAATTAACATTACCATTGGTTAACTAAGATTATAGTTAGCTAGAAAACAACAGTTAATATTAGCATTCAATCCATTGCTAGCTAGCATTCCTGTTGTTATCTAAAATTGGTGCTTGATAGCTATTATTACCTTGAGCTAGCTTACACTGCCATTAGCTAGGAATTCATGACTGTCACATTTCAACCTGTTATACTTATAAATGTTAGTTAGGAATTAATGCTATCATTACTGTTTTTTTATAAGTAGATAATGGGTTATCAGTAAGTTGTTTTTTCGTAAAATATGGCCCCTTGGCTCTCTAGATTTTGACAATGCATTATAGACTAGTTGTTGATTAATAAAGCAGCTGTAAGATAATGTCAGATTCACTACATCTACACAATTTCAATGTTGCACCTATTCATTGTTTTCAACTGAATCAGCCATGTTAAAATGTCCTTATTCGTCCTGAAACAGATAAGAAAAACACACCTCCAATCGTAACAGTTTGACTCCGCTTGGTTTCATTAGCCGGGTTGGTGCTCTCACAGTAGTATCCCCCTCGGTGCTCCCCTTTGACATTGTTGATCCTGTGAGATCCCGCTAATTTATTGGAGGACTGAGAATCAAGAGCTGCTTCTCTTTCAGTGTGGTACCATGTGAAGGTGACAGGTGGAGTCCCTCTTTGCACAGAACAGATGAGTGTCAGGTCCTGCCCCTCAGAGACGTCCTCAGCGCTGGGACGCATGATCAGGATAGGCGCGTACACTGGCTCTGTAGAGGGGAACATAATACAGTATGTTAAATTATGTTTACATTGGGTTGATTTGAATTTTTTTGTCATCATTCCTGCATCCAACACACCTATGATGTTGGTTGCACGTAGCAACTGCTGCCCTAATCCAACCACGACAGGCCTTTGTTTACTGTTATTCACGTGGCAAATAATGTCGCTTAAGTCTGCCTGTTTGTGGATGGCTGTGCAGTTGAAGATGGCCCTTTCCCCGGGTTTGCTAATCTCCCTTTGCTCAGGTTGCTGTTGAAGGAAGTTCAGGGTGTAGACAACAGGTAGAGTGCCACTGTCACTTTGACAGAGCAGCTGGAAGGGTTTCCCCAACACCAGCGTACCCCCCAGCACACTCAGCTTTGGCACTGAGACAGGAACTGAGGACGAGATTATTCAACAGTTAGTCTGCGTGCAACAGAAAAATACAAGACATGGATAACAGAAACAGCTTTGTTATGGTGTCTACACAAGGTCAGCTGCAGAACTGCTATGGAGCTGCTGCTGCCAACCCAATGTCTTTACATTGACTTTTCCAACCTAATGGCTGAAAAATATGTTTTTTATCTATATTGACATAGCAAATTATTACACAACTTATTTTAGCTGTGGGCTAATGATACCATCTCAAATCAGCAATTGTCCAAATCTATGCACTACTGTAGAAATTCCTGCATCATTGTTGCGAACCAACCAACATTACAAAGAGGAATAAATAACTTGGAATAAACCATTCACAGGATTTGACGACTCACCTTTTGCTTTCACTACGACCGTTTGGCTTTCTTTGACAAAACTGTGGTTGTGAGAAGCAGCTTGGACTTTGCAGCTGTAGTTGCCATTTTTTTTAGGGTGTGCCACAGAAATGAATGTCTCTCCATTTGTGAGCTTGACATTATCTTTGTAGATGGAGAAAATCATGCTCTCGTTGTTGATCTTCTCAGGAACATATACGGAGACAGAGCAGGTCAGTTTGAAGCGGTCTCCTTCGAAGAGGTCCATAGGCTCCAGAGTAAGGGTTGGCTTTGAAAACAGCTCTGTGAAGTGAGACTTAAAAACTTCAGATTAAAGAGCACTGCATGTTGGGAAAGACATATTCAAAGAGGACTTGAAGTTCTTGCCTTTGACAGTGATTGGTAGATATGTTTCCTTTTGCACATTGCCCCACTCGGCCTTGCACACGAGCTCCCCATAGTCGCCCTCCTGTGCTGTGAAGCGATAAACGAGGCTGACCGATGCTTGCTTTAGGATCCTCCTGTCCCTTGTCAGGAAAACTTCAATGTTCTTCAGTTCACTTACCACTTTACAGACCACTTCCACTACATCACCCTCATAAACATCAGAGGAGGGCAGCACGTTCACAGTTGGAGAAATGTAGAGCGCTGCAAGACAGAAGTCAAACTAGTAAATATTTATTTTGTTTGTAGGCAAACTTGTCTCTTCTTGGTGACATCGCTGCTTTTGATTTCATTACCTTGGACTACGACTTGAATCTCATTGCTTTGGTTGGAGCGTCTGGCCCCTGAAACCAGATTTATTTCATAGTCACAGTACAATAAGCTGTCTCTAGCCACCCTCAGGTGCAACGTGGTCTCTGAGGAGTTCCCAGTGGCTGCCAGTTGCTTAAGTCTCTCTGACTGTCCGCTCCTCAATCTTTGGTAGAACCGGAAGATGAGGGATCCTTTCTCCTCTGGAGCACTGCAGCTGGCTGTGAACTCCTCGCCCTCATATGGTCTTGTCTTATTTAAATGAAGAATGGGAGTCTGTAGGCCTGAGGAGAGGAAAATCCAACAGGACAGAAACGGGGAAGCCATTACATTTTATACTTACGTTGGTCCTTTAGATTTTACAGGTTATACACATTAGCTGTCTCAAGTGTTAAGTGTCTCGAGATAACATTTGCGATGAATTGGCACTTTAAAAATAAAGATTGATTGATTGATCGATTAAAGTCTGCCACAACTGCAGTATGTTGCCAGATTGTTTAAAAGTTGGGTGGAGGTAGCATTCCAATATGGCAACCGTTATGGTTGGGCTTCAAAATGCCTCTTCAGAATATTATGGGTGACTGATATTACGTCCATGTTTTATACAGTCTCTGGTTACAACCTGGGAAACATTTGAGTTTTCCAAATTGAGCATGGTGACAGAGTGGCATCAGATTAGAATTGTGAATGTGGTCAATGGATTCTAGCTCGATGAGAAATATTATGTCATCCTGTTCTTTACCTGTAACGTCGAGTTTCTGGCTGAAGCTGGCTCTGCTTTTTCCCTTGACTGTGACCCTACATTCATAACTTCCAGAGTCCGCCGCCCTGGCTGGGTTCAGTTCATACAAGACTGAGTCTTCCGTGGTGGTGGAGGAGTGGACGAGAATGTCGTCTTGAGTCAGCAGGAAGGTGTGAGTCAGGTGAGGGATGTTGTCGTGGCTGACGCTGACCTGGCAGCGTAAGGTCACTGGTGTCCCACTCACAACTGTGTTGCTGGGTTGGATTGTAAGGCCAACGTTGTCTATAGTGTAAGCTGTAGGTCAAAACATCACACAAGATTTAGAAACACAAGAGAGAAACAATGTTATTTAGGATTGTTTGTCTTTTTTGTTCTCAAGCCAACATCGGGGACCAAGCCAGTGACAGAATACAGTCAGAGTCTATTATTCCCTCCACAATAAAGGTAAAAGAAGGCGCTCCCCAGCCACCAGTCTCAGCAAGCAGGAGCTGCTGAAAGAAGGAAAACCTTTAACAAACAGTGTCTGACCCTGTCTACCCCTTTGGGAGAGCTGTGTTGATTTATCCCAGCTTCTCTCCCCCCAGCAACAACAACACGGTGTAACCTGCCACAACAGCAACTAAACAATCAAGTGGTCCACATCCTCAAAGTGCTGCCATTAGTTTGTGCACTGGGCTCAGTGAGAAACAATGACTTAGGCAGTGACTGAGCGTTTTTATCGGGAGAAAGTTAATTCTTCCCCTTGAAAATAAAACTGACAAATAGTTTTGACTTCATGTTCATCTGTTAGCTTTCTTAAAGCTTTCTTAAAGCTGCTAGCTCCGTAGAGAAAAAAGACAAACCTTCAGTTCATATTCATTTCTGTAAATGTTATACATGAGGCATATACTCTAATTTGCTTTACTGCTGAGTTAAATGAGAAAATAGATGCATTTATCATGTTTGAATTCTAAATATGAGCTAGCTAGACTTTGCCAAAGTCTGATTAGCATCACGACTTAAGCACCCAAAAAGGTTTGTAAAATGTATAATTTACTATTTTATGAGGTTACTATGTTGCAAATGTATTTCTTGAGACAGAGAAGCATCTTTTTGCATTTTGAAAAGGTTTTTCACAACCTCACACTGACAACACTTGAGGTGAAAAAGGGGCTTTAGAGAGGTTTTTGCAAGCTTTTGGTTTTAACACAAGCTAGCTGTTATCTTCTCTTTCAACTTCTGCTAAGCTAAGCAAGCCTATAACCCCGAGTCTTGCCAAACTTCAGTCTGAAATGACTTGCTTCACAGGTAGTAGTTGCTACCTTGAGACCTTGACGCAAGCTTTTTCATGCTAAGCTAAGACACCTGGCTTTTGAATGAGCTGACATGAAGTCATTTCATCTAAATTTCTGTAAGAATTGTGTTGCCTTTTAGAGGCAGACTACCTCCAAAGCCACTTATCTAACAGCTTCAGATGAACACTGACATAAGAAAACAAAAAGATTAGCTTTTTAATTCAAATCAACTTTTGAATGTTTCATGTCTCATTTGAAAAATTACCCAGCTTCACCTGTGACAACTAAAAATAACTTTGACTGATGTAACTCAATACTTTGAACAACCAAGGAGGGCATGAGAGAATGATACTATGCTCCTTTACTGCAGAAAATAACTCTTTGAGATAAATATATCTTTCTTTTGTAATACAACAAGGACCGGATAACCCGAAAATAAGAGTTAAATATAGAGTGTAATGTAGTGATACTTACATGACTGTCCCCTGGCACATTGCCCTGTGTTTGAATAAAAATAGAGAAACAGAAAAAAAAGTGAGAATCAGGACATTATTCTTATTGATATCTCTGAGGCAAGCACATCACTGGGTCCTTACATAAGTACAGGAGTCTGGTGAGAAGCAGGAGCAGTAGTTTGGGGGGTCTGGGCTCCATCCTCAGCGATGGTTGATTCACTTCTCTAAGATAAAAATGCAAAAGGCTGAGGACGGACGGGCAGTCAGTCGGAGGAGGGACAAAGGAAGTGAGAGGTGGACTCGGGTGGCATTGGTGTGGTTCCTCGTCTTATCACGCACACTCCTTATGCTGCTTGACGGACCAGGAAATGGATGTTACTTCCTCAGGAATCTAGCATTTACTGTGTTTTTTTTTATGGGTGTGAGAGGAGAGAAAACTGAACAGTAACCTCAAAGAAACCTCCTTAGTTTCCCCTTAGCTTGGACCCAGTTTGACTGTTTCTTACATAGTCTATAACAAGATTAAAATAAATGACAGCATCTTAAACTATTCTGTGTCTCCACCTTCATTTTGTATTATTAGTGGCTAAATTGTTGCTCTCTAGATAAACCAAAACAACGCAAACAGAATAATGCAGAGCCTTAAACGCTCTTCACATTACCTGGGCCACAATCTCACCTTTTAAATTGCGTTTGTCTTTTTAGAGCTTCATGAATTCCCATCGAATCATGATCCAGCTTCTTATTCAATTTATTTATCATAAGCAAACTCATCACCTCACACCTCAGACTCCATCTTCCCCCATTGTTCAGTACCCTCATGTTGAAACTTTGCGATGAAACTTTGACTGCATTGGTTTCAGTATGAAAACAGAAGTTCATGCATCAGTTTTAGTATGAAAGCAGAGGTTGATGCGGAGGCCTCTGAAGAACAGGACATGCGGGGGCCTAGGTGTGACTTGAACAACACTATTTTGTAAATGTCACAGACAGCTTGCCTGTAGCACATCAGCATAAGGATATTTCCATGACAATTTGCAACATAAGGAATTATTAGAATGGATCGTTATCAAATCACAGCAGCTGTAGAGAGAATTAGTCTTGAAGAAGCAGGTATCAAACTTGCAGTTCTTCACTCTGGCCACTAAGAGCTGCTGAAGGCTAAGAGGAGAATCTGCGTGCAAACCCAAATAGTTCTTCTGGTCTGCAGGTTTATCTGCCTGATGCTCCTGGACGATTTCATTTGGGCCACATGGTACGACAAAAAATCGATTGAAGGCTGTACAGAGGGGCATTTTATCCAACACAGAGTGGATGAGGACCAACACAAGCTTTAACACACTGACTAATGCAAGGGTGGCATGAAGTTTCTGAATAGACACACACATCATACGTTCCTTTAAACCGCCCTCATCCCGTTTGTTTGGTTTATTGTGATCAAGAACAAGTCAGTGTTGTTGTGATGCTAACAAACTTTGGATAAGAGTTGCTTTTTAAGATTTATTTATGGGATTTCTGTGCCTTTAATGTAGAGACAGGAGAGTGGATAGAGACAGAAACTGGGGAGAGAGAGAGAGAGAGAGTCGGGAATGACGTGCGGGAAAGGAGCCACAGGTCGGATTTGCACCTGGTCTGCCCGCTCTCGAGGACTTTAGCCTCTGGACACGGGGCACGCACGCTCCACCAGACTATCGGCACCCACTAGTAAACATTATGATATGAAGAGTGCACACAGTGGGCTTTCTCAGGTTTGTTCTCAGGATGGAGCATTGATGCTTGCAAATACCTGAAAAAAAATATATTTCCTTGCCTTGACTTCTAATGAGATGTGTGGGTCAGCTAATATAAGATGGTAGCTTTTCTGTCCTCACAAGCCAAAATTGTTTTTTTGAAGAAAGTCACAAGATGTTCATAAATCCTCTCAGTGCAGATAAACAGATCTGCAAAAGTAAACCCTCCAGGCATAAACCCTCTGTTAGTTCCTCTTGATAATAATCAGGAAGATACAGGAAACCACCCTAAATGGTTTTATGTATTACGTAATATGGGGTGGGGACAGTGTGGTCTTTCAACAGGCTCAAAGTTTTTGGAGTAATTCTACAAATAGCCCAATCTGCATGAAATAGCCTGACCTTTCCAGCCCTTTCATAATTGAACTAACTGCTGTGGACAGAGTGGCTGAGCCAAAATCTGCTCTCCACATTTCCACTGAATTAGCATTGGTTAAAGATTCTTTAAAGGTTTAGAGTTTAATTGTACTCGAAGCTGCACCCAGGCTACTTTCTAACATGGCAAATTCTGCAGGACGAGCTCGGCATAAGAAATGACCTGCATGCATTCACTGTATTTTCTTGTGTGTAAGGAGTGTGTTGCACTGCAGGGAGTGATTGATGGTGGCCATGCTAGTACCATCGACAGCGTCAGTTCTCAGTGGGTCCCGGGCAGCTGTGTGATTGATGTCTGCGCCCTGAGCTCTGTTCTGCCGGCACTTTTATCAGAGTGCCAAACAGGTAAAGCCCACTGTACAATGAATCCCAGAGTGTTGAGAATACCGCTTTGCAATTATATGCATAAGCTCTTTAGTTTAGATCATTCTTATGGACACTGCAACCATATACCATACAAAAGTTTGTCACATACTGAGACTAGTGTATTGTATCTTCAGGCGTCTTCTTGACCTGTTTGGCTTCATCCATGGTATGGTCATTTGATACTGTCAAAAATCCATGTAAGTAGCTAAGGCTGTGTTTCCACTGCTGGAACTTTCCCAATGGACTAGGAACTTAACAACTTTTAACCAAAGTAACCAGAGTTTAAATACATTTTCAGTGATTTCCCCACCCAGAGGTCCCACATCTGGTTCTGCAGCCTAGGAGATGATCCCTGAGAGCACAGAAATCACTTTCTCAGCCTATCCTGATGGGACAGAGACTCCCTAAAGAATCAAGCTAAAACGATTTATATGTTGCCGCACTGTGTTACTTTCAAGTACATATGATTTATGGGGATAGAAATGATAAAACAATTAATGCTACCCCTGCATTAGTCGGTGCCCAAGGTGGGCCACTCCGTTTAAAAAAGTCTGGACACGCCACTGACCATAAAGAAATGAACAGAATTCACATGCAGGGGTTTACTAGCATAACAGAAACACAAACATCTGAAGACATTTTGCATTTCCTGTAATTCAGGAGATTATTTATTTGAGGCTTGTGTGGCCGTAGGAACACATTTCTTAGTAAACCTTTGGGCACTTGGGCTGTAATGTAATGGAGGTTGTGGAAGAGTTAATTGTCTGGTTCATGTATGATTGTGAGAGCTTTGAGGTGACAAAATGAGAAAAGTCAGTCGAGGGAATACCCCAATGGGTTTATTGGCTAGAAGAGTAATGTTTACAAGTTTGTGCTTATTGGCGTCTGTGTGGAGAAAAAAAAGGACATTTTACCATTACAGAGGTCTGAAGAGGAGAAATTGAAGAGATGAGTTAAAATCTAATTTAGACTCCTGCTTTATTTGGGCCTATGGGAAATGTTTTTTTGATAATAAAACAGGCCATTGAAAGACACAGAAAGAGACGGGAAATGGGATTCTGCACTAAAGCCCTGATTATAAGCAATCAAATCTGCGCAATGCTTTGTAGCAAATCTAGCCTTTACAGTCATGCAGTCATGGTTTTAAGAGACTTATATCGGAATAAAAGATGGTGGAATACAACAAACCAGAAGAGATAATCTGCACTTTGGATAGCAGCCAATTGTTGTTTAGTTTCTCTTTCTCAATGTAAATAATTATGTTCTACTTACCTTACTTTTTTTATGTAACTTATCGTACTTCTGTTACAGTTACTATTTCTTCACTTTCACTTTCCATTTGTTCTTGTATTTTATGCTTGTTGTTTTGGATCAATCTGTCACCATTATTTCCTTTGAGATTTAAATTTATTCTTATTATAGCTTATATAATTATAAAAAAAGAGCCCAGTCACAGGAAACACTCAAGAGTCTTGTGTTTAAGTCCACGGGTTTGATAACCCCAACAGCCACCCTGAAACTAATTTGTAAGCGGCGTTTTGTTACCTCATAATAATGTCACCTGTCCTCCTCCTTTGCTCCTGCCACATATCCAGCCACTAGAGGGCTCCGTGACCTATACTTGCACAAAAAGATGTTAATTTATGGCGTTTGCTGGATCGACTGACATGATTGTTCTTGGGAGGACAGTATAGTTTTACATTTTGTGGTTTAATTTGTCTTTCATTTTTCTGCATAAAAAACAAGAATTGAAAACAAACCAACAATTTGACCAAAAAAAAAAAGGCCTCCATCTTTGCACGACTCTGTTTGCAGATCTATCCGACTGACCCACACAGAGCCGGCCAAATGTTGACTTTACAAAGCCACTCGCCATCCTCTCCTCCCTGCTGCCGTGGTGTGTTTGGACAGAGTTCAGCCAGTTGCATCTCCAGAGGGTTTCTGCACCTCCAGAGGGTTTCTGCACCTTGCACCAACGGGGCTGCATGAACCGAGACCGGTCACTGTTGATGAGGGATGACACAGAGATGTTCCTGCCTCTAGCGCAGCTGCCTGCAGGAGGTAGGGGAGCGTGTTGCTACAGGGCAAAGCTTTGAGGCGATCTGTCCTGAACAAACCTCACCTCCACCTCCACCTCTCCAACAATCATGACTGCTGCATTTAAATAAGTGAACTACTTTTAGTTCCATTATCGCTTCCTTTTTTTCCCCCTGCTGTATTTTCTACATGAATCCCAACACATTTTTTTTTTTTTTTAAATAGGTCTCATGACTGAATCTTTCTCACTCTCCGTTTCTCTCCACCTCATGCCTGCTGGATCAATAATAAATGATCTGTGAGGCTTGGCAGTGACAGACTCTCTGCATCTTCCCCACTCAGGATTATTCAACAGAATCAGACAAAGCTCCAGGTCCTGGTAGGAAACAGTGGAGGGGACACAGGGAAAAAGTCATGCTCGCTGTTCCGAACTGCAGAGCATTAACTGCAAGTTTTTTTTCGCGGATGTGTGCTTCAGCGGCCTTCCTTCGTCCACTTGTCGCTCCACCATGCAGCACATGTATCAGGGGCGTGCAGCAGGGAGGACAGCTCCATCTGAAGTACCACAGGGGGTTATTGCTCTGAGGGGGCCTGCTGTGTGCTCAATCCCCTCAAAAACCTGCATCCAAGATCTCCTGTGTTCCCATGCTGGTTTGAACATGAGCTTAATTCCTCTCCTCCTTTTTTTTTTTTTTTTGCTGTTGGGTCACCCGGCTGTAGTGTCCTTTAGC